AAGGAATCCAGTAGGTTTTTACTTCCCTAGTTGTAGCTAGTTTTAGGTGACAGTGCTTATTTCTGTTTCCAGGCCATTGAGTCAGTAGTGTCTGAAGATGTTTCCATGGTCATGTGGTCAGCATGATATCACACTGCAGTGCAGTGCAGTGCAGTGAAACAGAGTGCTTTTACTTTCCCACTTAAGTGGTACCCATTTATCTACTTGCATTTGCATGCTTTGCCTGATGAGATGGGTGGCATATAAATGTAATAAATAAAATAGTTTAAGATCCTGAAATGACATACACTTAGACCTCATCAGAATGTAATGTAAGTAAATGTTATCTAATGCCATGTAAAAGTCCAATTTCTCAACTATACTTCGAATATTTCAAATTTCATGTTCTTTCTTATAATTGAATTGTTCATGTGTTAGCCTCTTTGAATAGTCATTTTCTTTCCTTAACTTTTAACTAAATTTAGTTGTTGAGTTTTCAGTGTAGCCATCATCTGAAAACTGCGAAGAAATTGCGGCGTTGAAATTTATAGGCAGTGAGAGAAATATCAGTAAATCCTGATAGTAGCTGTGAGTGCTGTTGGAATACTGAGCGACTGGTAATACTCTCAGTGATTTAATGTTAGGATGAGAAGGAGAGTCTTGGACATTTAGGCTGTGTCTTTTTTTTGACCTGTCTCCAGACAGACTCATGAGTGTGAAGGACCAATGATAAAAGTTCCCTTTCCAGAAATGTACCCCAGCAAAAACAAATCAGTCAGTGCAGTTGACTTTTTCTAAGAAAATCTTCATTATAAGCATAAATACTTTTTAATTACTCATTAACTAATATAGAATATGTGGTGGAAAGCTATTTGTAAAGTTGTATTTATTTGATGAAATTTGATCAGATTTATATGGAGCACAATTTACTTAAGTTTTTTTTAAATTTCCAGAATAGAGCATTTTTTGTAAGAGGAAATATATGAAATAATCTATACTATGGATTTAACCATGTTTTCTAACTAAAGTGGAACATCTATAATTTGCTAAATCTTAAATTAAAAAACAAACCAAGCAGGATTGTGTCAGAGTTCCAGAAATTGTCTGTTTCAGTCAGTAACTCTGAGACAAGCATATTCTCGAAGTGCTTTAATTAAAAAACTGAAACTTGGCACATCTGTGGAATTACAGAACTAAAGTTCCTTCCAGACTTCCCACAATACTCAATCAACGCCCACCCCTTTTCTCCCACATCATCAATCATGTGAACCAAGCACATTTCAACTATAATTCTTGCTGCGCCATAGAAAATGACCTTGACAGTCTTACATATCTATTATGTCTACTGAAAATTACTCAAAGAACAACACCCCCTTTTTCCATCCTTTGTAGCTAGGTGGCAGCTTTTAATAAGGATTCCAAAGCTGACAGATTGTTTCTTGGCAGATAGTAAGGCATCTAATAATAGCTTCCTCCGTTAATTATTAAATGTATCGTATTCCTTTTTTTATTTGTTTGTTTCAGAAGGAATATTTGAGCCATAGGCAGAACACCAGTAGTACTCACGAAGGATATTTATGGCTTGGCTTATATAAATGAATTATTTTATCACATATTAATTATTTGGCACTCTCATGAGTTTATCCTCTATTTTAAATGTCTTCTCTGTGTATTTCCAGATAAGATTTTATTCTGTGATTATTTTGCCTCATATTGTACTGTGGAGATGTGGGGAGACTGCAAGATATCTATATTGTCTGAAGGCTGGTGTTTTCCAATGGTTCTCTGTTTCTGATTAATTGTTTTAATTTATTTACATGAGTTAGTCATTGCCGTTTTAATTTGTGAGGTACACAGAATCATGTAAGTGAGATGGCCTTCCTTTTAAATTGAACAAAATAAAATAAATAAATGAAATAATAAATTTGTAACATTCCTAACTTTTTTCATAAGGAAGATCTTTTTTATTAAAGAAAAAAATGTGGAATTGCTGCATTATTTATCTTCGTTATTGGCGCTTTCTTTATTTATCCTTTATTATTCTTTATCTTCATTATCCTAATCCCACTAGTGGCATAAACTATAATCTATGGCAATTTTAGTTTTCTAATCTGTTTTTTGAGATCCTTCTTAACACAGCCCTAAAGAGAGTTCCAATGACAAATGCCACAATGAACTGTATTGGATTTTATCCAATTAGATTAGATACATATTAGATTAGAGTATGCTGAAAAGAGGCTGTAATCCTGACCATACAGTAGAGTAAATTTTGTTGAATTTATGGAATGATTACAGATCATGACCATTTGTTCAGCAACTGTTCAAAATTAGGACAATGTTAATTGTTGATCAAGGGAGACTTAAAACTGGTCCTTGAAGTTGTGGCATCACAGCATCCATGCAATTACTTGATTGTGATTTGGACTCTAGGCAACTGGGTTACAATTACAACAGTTGTAGTATCCCATGGTCACTTGATCATTGCAACCTTTCCTTCTCACAAGGAAAGTCGGTGGGAAAACTGGCAGGAGGTTACAAGGTACTCCTGCTGTTGCTGCTTTTTCGCCTTCCTGCCTGTGGTATCCACCCACCTGCCTCTGCTCTGTAGCATTTGCTTGTGGAACATGATTGTCCATGATTCTCACCCACTGACCTTCCTGCTTGGGATTCCTTCCTTTTCTTCCTTAGTGACATGTGCAGTCCTGGGGTTATGACAGGAACTGGGATTGCTGCTGCTGCATGATACAGTCACATGACATCACACCTTTTAACCTCATCACTTAGCGACAGAAATTCTGGTTCCAGTTGCCATTATAATCTGAGGGTTACCTGTATTTCTGATAATAGCATAGAATCTCCACTATAAGTCCTTAGTGGTGGGACTTATCTCCAGGGGGGATGAGTTTGCCTATTGAGATGAGGTGGACCAGTTGTTTTTGTGGTGTGGAGACAATAACTTGGTCCTCAACACCAATAAGACGAAGGACCTTATAGTGGACTATAGAAGGAACAGATCAGACATCCAGCCCTTGCTTATCAATGGAGACCGAGTGGAACAAGTGGCCAGTTTTAAGTTTCTGGGTGTTAATAAAAGAGGACCTGACCTGGGGTGCTCACATTGCAGCACTGGTCAAAAGGGCCCAGCAGAGATTATACTACCTGAGACTTCTCAGAAACAACTGAATGGAAAACTGCTGGTGACATTCTACCGCTGCACCATAGAGAGTATTTTAACTTACTGCACCTCTGTATGGTTTGCCAATTGCACAGTGGCAGATAGGAAAGCACTCCAGAGGGTTAACGTCATTGCCAGAAGATCATTGGCGATTGATTGCCTTCTCCCCTCTTTGGAAGAGCTTTATAGCTCCCGCTGCCTTAAGAAAGTTCAAAACTGCAAGCAATTGGACTTTTCCCCTTCAATCTAAAAGAATGAACTTCTGAAGACCAGGTGTTTGAAAAGGAATCCTTTATTGAAAGGGATTTTATCTCAACCCTAGGCAAAGCAGAGTCTAAGATATCTCCAGGCATACAGTCATAGATAAAGGAAGTTAAAATCCCTCCCCTTATTCAGATGTGGATTTAGTCAGACAAAGAACCAACATGTTAATTCTCCCCTCCCCTTCTTTGGAAAGAAGAAATCTTAGCAGAAATCTATCTTAGCAGAGTTCGCAGGAGTATCTTCCAGAGCTGGAATTTTTATGGTTCCTTCTCATCTTGTTATCTCTTCAAGAGGTGACAAGTTTCTGGACATCTGGCTCCACTCCTCAAGTTGTATATCATATGCAAGTTATAAAGAATCAATATAGGATTTAATATATTCAGGTTACATCAAAGAGGATTACTTGTACCAACTCCCCCCCCCCCCTTCCATTGAAGAATGGCAGATACATGGATCTGACAAAAACATTCTCAAAGATCCATCTCATCCAGGGAACCCTTTCTTTTAACTATTACCATCTGGCAGACGGTACAGAATAATAAAAACAAGGACAAATAGGCTGAAAAATAGCTTCTATCCCAGGGCAGTAGCTCTTTTGAATTCTGCTGTATAGTGCAGTATTGGTGTACTGTTGGGGGTTTTCGGTTCAATGTGAGGAGGGTGAAGGATGTGTGTTTGTGTTTATTTTCATGGTCATGGTCATGATGTGCACTGAAGATGGTGTTTGATTTCGTTGTACGAGCTGCAATGACAATAAACTAAACTAAACTATACTAAACTAGATAGTCTTAAAATCAAAGACAGGATCATCTATTACATGCTTTCTTTAATGCTACAGGTATAATTTTATTATAAGGTATCTCTGATGTGATGATTACTATCTGCCTTCTTTGGAAGGGCTATAATAGAATATATATCTGGATAACGTCTATATGCTGTACATATTCAGCAACTGTGAATGGTTGCCTCCATTCAAAGGTTTTTTGGGCGGGAAGGGTATGTTTTACTTCTGACATTTATAAGCAATTATTGTTACATTTATCAATAACATAGTTTAAATTATATTTTAGGAGTTTATATTTTAAATATTTTAATAGATATAATTTTAATGGACATTTCCATTATTTAGCTCTATTTGGTGGATAATATGGTAATTCTTTGATATTATATTGCCTACCACATACCAATTATTACCGGTAATAACATTTAAATTGATTAATCAAACATCATGCTAGTCTGGTGTGTTGGCTAATTAACTATCTGATCAAGAAGTAATAATGAAATAGAGACATTGGAATAAATCAAATAGTTTGGCATGATTCCAGATGCAATTCAACTTAATTATATTTTTTGGATGTAAATAGTATAACATAATTTTAGCTATTCTGTTATGAATATTTGATTAACATAAATGTAGTTTAAATTGTTTTTTAAGTGGAGAGCTAAAAAAATCCTAAGTTTTTAAAATTGCTGTTCCTTTTAGGATATCCATATTATTGTTTTTGTTTTGTTTTGTTTTGTTTTACAGTTCCCTGGACGATGTGAAAGAAAACTTTTAAAGCTTAGTCTTGTAGATGAAATGGTAATTTTTCCTTTTGGCTATACTGTTTTTGGTTTTTGTTCTAAGACTGAATTTACAACACTATGCCCATTTTAAAAGTGCCAGTGCATTATAACTTTGGCATTGTGTCCCGTGATGAACACGAAAGGCTTCATCACAGACTGGTGGCTCAATATATGAAAAAAGATTCAGCTGATTTCAAGAGAAAACCACGTAGGTAAGTTTAAATATTGATAATTGATGTGGTATTTATACGTTTGATGTTTTCAAGATTCTCAACCCAGATCTTAAGCAAAAGAGCAAGTTAGCTAAACACTTTGCGAGAGTTTAAATAAGATGCCATCAAAATGTAGAAAATGAAAGATATGATGTACAATGCAACAGGTAGCACATGACATCACCTTTGCCTTTTCAGCCTATACTAATAGATTCCTGTACAGGTAGTCCTCAGTTAACAACCGCTAATTCAGCAACTGTTTGAAGTTATGTCGGCACTGAATGAATGGTACTTATGATCTGTCCTTAAAGATCTGGCCATCCCAGTACTCCTGTAGTCATCGGATCGCGATCTGAGCATTGGGCAAGTGGCTTGCATTTATGATGGTTGCGGTGTCTCATGGTCACATGATTACCATTTGTGACCTTCTCAGCTGGCTTCTTACAAGCAAAGTTAATGGGGAAGCCAGCAAGGAAGGCCACATGTCGCTCCTGTAAATCATTCCCCTTCTCATCAATTTTTCTCCCAAAGAACCTAGCCAGGAGTGTGAGATCTCAGGATTCTCTTATTCTGTAGTGCACACATCCCTTATGTGGTGTCACGGCTGCACTTGTGTAATGCCATGGCAGCCACACAAATATCTTTTTGCCACCAACAGCAGCTATCATGATCTGGTTACATTTGTGCTGGGCTATGGCTTGTGCACTCTCTTGCTATCTGGAGTGCCCTCCCCTCCCCATGCGTGGCTGTCATCGCATCATTCCATAGCAACTACTTACCTGCCCACTAACCTACTTGCGAGCTGCCTAGGACTTGCAACTTCCTGTTGTCTTACTCATTAAATTTGCTTGTAAGAAGCGGGTGGGAAGTTGTGAGGAAGATTTCACTTGATGACCCACCATTCTTAATGACAGCAATTGTTGTTGCTAAGCAGTGCTGTCATGTGATATTGCGCACCAATGTGCCTATCATCCCTGTCTTAATGTTCCCTTTTATTCGTATCTATTTTGTGTATAAATAATCATGTTTATACTACACATATTATCAAATGCATACTTGACAAAATAAATAAATAAAATAAAAATAAAACAATTACACTCTTAGGGATGGAAACTTTGGTTCCAATTTTTGATGTTAACCAGTAAATTCTGCTTTGGATCATTTTCTGGTGCATATTATTTACTACATGTAAATAATGCTTTCTATATATACAATAGCAATCTGTTCCAATGGTGGTATCTGTACCACTTGTGGACAGGCGGATACTATTATATTTCAGTCAAAGATAGGAAGCATTAACATAAATAATAAGAAAACATAATAACTATCACTTTAGGGAAAAAGGGGAATAAGAAACCAAAATAATCTTAGCGCTTAAACCGAGTTAGCAAAAAATAAATCTGTTCTCCACATTTAGGAACTAGAATATTATCCCATGCCCTGGAACTTACTGGAAACTATTAATAAAATTCATATTTAAGGAATTAGCTCTCTATTATAATTGTAATAGATGGAGTGAAACACTCAATTTCTTTTGTTGGGCTCATTACTTAGAATAATATCTGTTTGCCTAAAGGAAATAGTAGAATCCATATTGAATCTCATCTGTGAGTCATTATCAGTAGTCCTGTCAGTTGAATTTAAATACATTTTAAAAGTTGATTTTAAGAGTTTGCTATCACCATATTAAGTGGAATTCTTATATGACAATAATTTTCTTGAAGAGAACTAATAGAATTAATTTCTGTGATACCTTCTTTAAAAATAAAAGAAACAAAAGATTGCTTGGAGGAGGGTGGTAATGTTACTTAAATACACCTCATCACGTTCTTGACAAAATGACTTGAATCTTAATATCTTTTAGATCTGTGTGTATCTTGTAGAATATGAAATCAGAAGTTGATTACTGTAATCATTTCTGGCCTGCAAAACCCAGACAAGCACTAGACATAATCTGGAATAACCTTTCTTCTGCAGACTTGTTCCTTTCCTGACTTCACTTAAGAAGATGCTGAAAATGAGTTATTTTGCAGAGTGTTTAGCTTAGATCTTGCCATCAATTTCTTTTCATTGATTTCTTCAAGTAGCTTTTATATATTGCTTTGTTTTAGTTTTTAATTTATACCTTGGATACTTTAAATTATATTGTATAAACCAGAGAGGATTGTTTTTAATTGTGGCAAAATATAAGTGCAATACATAATTATATAAATAACAGAGGAGATGAAAGAGATTGCTAAATGGGGGAAAAACCAGGGTCAAGGGTGACAATGAATTATGTGTCTCAGAGTCGGCTAGCTGTCATGATTCCAGCAGTTACCCCCATCTAAATCACGAGTCTTGAGACAATCTTCCAAAACTTAAAAAGGATTTATTGGGAGTTAACATGTCCAGCAGTGCCTGGGTATAGCCGAGTCTGAGACACATAATTCATTGTCATCCTTGACCTTGGTTCCCCCCACCCCCACCCCCTGGGTGTATTGTAATTCATATTCTCCAATGGAACACATCTATAGCCAAGAGTCATCAATCATGCTCTCCAGTTAGAATTTTGCGCGGCAGAAACTTCAGTAACCTAGTTACTATCTTTGAAAACCTTTATGGAATGCACTTTTGGTTTGCAAGCTGACGCACTGCTCCCCGCTCCCTTTCTGTTGGCAACTCTAAAAAGACCATAGAAATATTTTATGAGTTGACAATAAATATGAACTATAATACCATATGAAACATTTAATATCTACAAGTAATATTGAATGAATTATTTCAGGCAATATTATGGTAGTTAAATAACTGATTAAACAAAAATGAAAAGATATAGTTTTGCCTTAGAATTTCAAGTGATTCCTGTGTTAAAACTGCACAAAATTGGATGTGTTATAACAAATATAGTGAACATACATTCCTTTACTAAGGGTGGATTCAATAATTTTTTAAAAATAATAACCCTAGCTAAGTGTTACTTTTTTCCAGAAAAAATTCCACACTTGCCACAAGGTGGCTCCTTTGTTTATTAAAAACAAAAAAGTGAGAATCATAGAAGTGGCTGATTCACAGCAGAAGATAAAATCCAACAAAACTGATGCAGATACACCCATAACAAATCCATCACATTATTCATTCCCTTTTGGGGTAAGCAGTGTTAAGCCAAGTGTGGAAAAATAGTAAGCAAAAATAGTAAGCAAAATAAGTTTAAAAATGAAATTATAGAAAAGGAAAGAAAATATAGGACACAATTGATAAAAAAATTCAAAATAGGCAAAATAACAAGGTTGAAGCTTACAGCATGGCCTTGATAAGTGCACTAATTGATATTGTGACTCTTAGGGAAACCATGCCAGGAATGTAAGGCCAGAATTGAGAATCCCTTTTCCAGTTCACTAGCACCTATTTAATCTCAGAAAAAAAAGAGAACAGGAATACCATTAATAATTGTATGTTTAAAAAAAAGGCTAGGCCTAAGTGTCCAGGTTCACAGTAGACTTACCAATTAATCATTTTGCAATAATCAATCCACTTCTTACTAATTTGTTTCACCCAAAATGTCTACTTCAAATAAAAATCTGGCTTTATATTTCTTTTTTTCTTTTTAATTTTATGAAATCAACAATGTTCCTTCCTTCACCTGGCATACATTTGTATTTTTGTGGCTCAAACTGCTCACTTAGTTTTTATTCTGGAAGAGATTTGAAATTAATTGCCCTTGGTACTTGTAAAGATAGTGAATTCTCTTTTCTTTGGAAAACAGTTGGGCAAAGACCTAAAGGTTTTCAATAGCAATGGAAATGCAGGAAGAACTTCTTGATCATCACATTGTTTTCGTGACCTCTAAGTCAAACACTACTTTGAGCAATTCCAACTGAGTTACTAACTGTAGGCAGACAGAACTTTACAGTTACACTGAAAACTAGTACCCTCAGGATATACTACATCTGTTCAGTAGAAAGATATCAAGTACAAGGGAGAGACGATAATAGATTCCTTGTACAGAAAGTGTGCATCCTGAAAGACCCACTCTTCAGAAGGCAAACAACTTGTTCTTGTTTTCCTAGTACTTAATCACTATTTGTTTAGTGACCGTTGAAACGGTAATAACCACTTGTTCAGTGATCATTCAATCTTACAATGGTGCTGAAGGAGTGGTACTTATGATCTGTGCTCAAAGTTCCATCCATTGCAGTGTCTCTGCATGTGATTGTTCAGCACCTGGATTGCAATTATGACATTGTAGTGTCACATAGTCACACGATCGGAATTTGTGGCCTTCTTTGCTATCTTCCTGCAAGCAAAATCACTGGCAAAGCTGGCAAGAGGTTGCAAATGCGACCATGTAAGATTGCACTTAATGATCATGTGGGATTTGTTGAACAATTGGACATGCAGAACTGCCATGGCTGAATGGCACAGTCATGTGATACTGGGCTTTCCAATTGCATCACTTAATTCTGGTCCCAAATGATGTTAGTAAGCAGGTATTACCTTAAGGTGGAAGTGGTAAAGATGCACAGGAATGTACCAGCTAGGAGCTTTGGTAACTCCCATCTAGAGAGATATTGCCTGGGCAATATCAGTGCCAAGGCTAATGAACATATTGAATTCTGAACTGCAACTTCTTAAGCTAAATTACTTTCAGGATAGAAAACCAGTATTTCCATCTAGATAAAGGAGTGGCCTGTCACATATTGTTTTGATCTTAACAGGACAGAATTGTCAAGTCTGTAGATGCTATAAAATTTATTGTAAAAGGGAGGCAGCAGCAGAAAGTCCTTGTATATATTAAAGATTGACATTACATAATGGATCTTTTAAAATTAAATAAGCTTTCTGTTCTTTTATGCTTGAAATGTTAATTCTATGTATTTATCCAATTAAATTGATATTCCCTTGGGTATATCTTTCTAGAAATCCATTTGAACTTACTGAAGAATTCATTGAGAATTTCAATAATGCCTCAGAAACAGAAAGAAAGGAAGCATTCATAGATCTGGCTAACAAAATGCTTGTTAGATGCAAGGTTTGTATATGTAGGATTTATAAAAGGTTATTTATAAAGACCATCTGTTGAACCTAAATGTTTAGGGTGCTGTTTAATACTTGAGAATTAATGAAAATACTTTTTACTACATGACATTCATTTTCTTTTTAAAGTTATTCATACAAAGATGTGCAGAAAGGACAATGTTAAAATAATTTGTATTTGGACATCTAAAATGTATAAGTAATTGTCAGGCTGAAAATGCTTGAAATACTTGTTTTCTTTTTATACATAGTCACGTTGAAGTAATTTCATGAAAACAATCTTGGCGGTGAGGAAAGGACATCTTAGTTTTAATTATTGCCTCTTGTTCCAGGAAATGAGGAAAAAGAAATGGCCTGACAGACTTTCCCTTTGTAGTCAAGTTAAATATTGTTATGGCAATCTAGTATAAAAATAAGGCAAAGTTATTCCAACTCTGACAGATTTATGTTTAAAAGCCTACTCCCAAATGCCTGAAGATGTTTCATTGTATTGGTTTTGGGTACCACATGTGCCCTCTTCACAAACTGGCTCAGTGCAAGTCATTGCTGGAATGCAGAGCTTGTAATTAATTGCTCTTTATTGCAAGGCACTTCAATTGATGGTAACAATATAATTACACACAGTATTTATCTTCTTATTTAAGTCTAACCTGAGGGATGAAAACATTGCTATCTCGGCTAGCCCTTGTATTTTCTTGTCAGCATGTTTGTTTTAAATGTTATCTTTAAGTAGAATTTTACATATGTTGACAATACTAGTTTTTTGCACTGCCATTTATCATGTTTCTTTTATTTATTAGAGCAGCTCCATTTTCCAGTCTTGACAAAAGATGCCACTGCTTTAAGAGTCTTATGCATTCCTTAAGCAACGTCAGCAACATGTATTCCAAGCAGAAGGCTGAAAAATGTCAGGTTGCTTTAGTTTAGTTTAGTTTACTTTACTTTACTTTATTGTCATTGCACTTTGTACAATGAAATTAAATACCACCTTCAGTGTACATTATGACTGTGAAAATAAAGACAAGCACACATCCTTCAAATTCTATACATTGAATTGAAAACCCCTGATATGGCATTAATATTGCACTATACAGTAGCATTGTATGTATTGGGATAGAAGCTGTTTTTCAGCCTATTTAATGAATAGCTCAGAGGCACTACACTTGTGCAGTCTGAAGAATTTCTTCTGAATCTCTTCCGAATGTGCTCATTTCATTAGTTTTTAGTTCATTTCCAAGTCTATTGTTAGCAGTGGAAAAATGGTATTATAATCTTTTGCTTCTTTCCATTTTATATTCTGGACAGAGACGATTGGGTCTCAATGTATTAGGTTGTGGGAAGTATGTGAATCTTCCAATAGGATGGACTGAGGCAATAATGTTATCGCAGTGCAAAGGAGAAATTAGTGAAGGTATGTTGCTTTTTCATTTTAATTGATATACATTTTCTCTTTTTGCTGAACAAATGCTTCTAAATTATGAACATAGGGACCTCATAAGGAAGCTGTTATGTCTGTTTGTTCAATATAAAAATACACAATTAGCTAAAATACATCAACATGCTATTGGAATAATGATGTTGTTATGCAAATGACTTAAATTGATGCACATGACATAATTTTCTTAACATGCAAAATGTTATTTCAGAAGAAGTAAATTGTAAAATTAAATCAATATACATTTTAACTGTCTTGTCTAGACTACATTGGATGCAATTAATCCATTTGGGGGAGACACCTAGAAGGAAATTTATGCTGTTGTATCTAACATCAGTAAATGTTTGCTACCCTTAAAATAAAGGTTTTTTTTCTCTCAGATAGAATATGCTATCCCTAAGATTTTGTATCGTGTGCTTTGGTCTTAGAATGATTCCAACGGCTTATGCAAATCCATTCTTACACTATTTTAAATTATGGATGTACAACTAGAGGCCTAAAAGCTGTATAGGGCCAATTATCAAGATTAATTGGTTTCTCTGAACAGTTGAAATGTATTTGTAAGAGAAATGGGTTGGTATATGGGTTCTGGGCTGCAAAAATAAGGAAGGTGGCAAGAAGTAGCTAAAAATGTTAAGGTTTTTCTGCCCTCTACTCTGCTGTATATTTTCTGTTTAATAGGGGCCCAGGAACCAAGAACTCAAAGTTGAGAGGTCATTTTATGCCATTCAAGGGGCTTCTACTGCCAGAAACCTATTCTGGCCTGAGATTTGTCCATCAAGCAGTTAAAGCTCCTTCAAACCAAGTTTGACTTTGGGAGATTTTATGGAGATGTCTGTAATCTATTAAGCAACAAGTGGATTATTGCCCTTTGAAATGTTATTTCACTTTCAAAGTTCAGTTAATAATCTTAGAATTAATTATCTGCCATTCAAATACTATCTGCTTAGTTTTTTTTTCTTCTATATCTGCTCAGGATTTTTACTATACTACTGTACGCAATTAACAAAACTATCTTTTAATTGAAAAACAAATAATAATAGAAACAAAAGTAAATAAATAAATAAAAAAGACCAGCTTGAAACTAAGAAAGGGGGGTAAGGGGGTAAAATTACCTTATATATTAGACTTATCAACAGTCACTGGTTAGTAAAATAGTGACTGTTTAACTTTGTTGTGTCCAGGGAAGTTGGCTGGGTGCAGCCATGGGATGAATGTCCCAGAATGTGAGACTTCAAGCTCAGATATAATTTTTCAAGAAATTATTCTTGCAGTAAGCAATCTTTAAAATACATTTCAGAGTTTTCTTTAATCAGATTATTCTGTTCTCGCTAAAAACTACTGAGAGAGCCCTCATAAGTCTAGAAGGTGGTTAACTTGTTTGTCATGACTGAATCAGTGGTGGTATTCAAAAACTTTTACTACTGGTTCTGTGGGCGTGGCTTGGTGGGCATGGCCATGTGAAGAAATTTTTACCACTTTTTGAAGATCAGAAAGCCCATGGTCACCTCATCCACTTCTCTTTAGGCAGCCATTTCTTTTTATTTCACTCGTCTGCCTACCGCTAGAGCTGTTTTTGTTTTAATCTCTGCTAAATCGGACATTCCTCCTTCAGTGAAAAACCAAAGCAAACTCTGATTCTACCTAACAGCTTGCAGTTTTATTTTTTTTGCAACTACAAAATAATGTACATTCATCATTCTTCCTTTTGATTTCATTTTCAAATAAGATTGCTTGAGAAATTCTTTCTGAATTTAGATGTGAATAGGGTGTAATTTAGCAAAATGTGTAAATACTGAAATAATTTACCTTAAATAATGAAATGCTTTCGTTTTTTCCCAATTATACAATGAATAAAATGATAATTGACCCTAAAGATTATGGGGAATTCTCTAAAACATCATTCGTTCTCTGTCTTAAAATCCTTGAAGAACAGAACATTTTTAAAAAATGTTGGTGGATATCTCGTACCTAAGCTTTTATTTGAATTAACAGTAGAATTAAAATAATTTGGAAATACAGGATAGATTAGAAATAAAGTGGTTGGATAAGGGCAATAATAATGATTGACACATCTGAGATTCCCTTCCTTGTTACCTGAAATATGTATGCTGGTTGGTGATTTAAAGCTTAATAGTGACCATATTCTATACCTAAGTATGCTACTTTATTTTGTTAGTTTATGTATTTATTCACTGCTAAAATAGAATGGGATGTCATTCAAGGAGATCTGTAACAAGATTGTCATGTTTTATCATGGATAGGAAATAGGGCTTTGGAATAGGCCACAGCTTTCCCCCGATAGTTCATTTAAACTGGAGACCAGCATACAATTCTGATGAAGCACAGACTGCTTAATACAGATAACCCTCAAGTTACAACAGTTCATTTACTGATTGTTTGAAGTTACAACAGCACTGAAAAAAGTGACTTATGACTGTTTTTCACACTGACAACCATTGCAACATTTCCATAGTTGTGATCAAAATTTAGATGCTTGGCAACTGACTTATATTTATGACAGTTGTAGCATCCCAAGGTCAGGTGATCACCTTTTGTGACCTTCTGACAAGCAAAGTCAATGGGGCAACCAGATTCACTTAACAACTGTGTTACCTGTCTTAACAACTACAGTTATTTATTTAACAGGTAGTAAGTGAGGCAAAATTCACTTAACAAATGTCTCACTTAGCAACAGAAATTTTAGGCTCAATTGTGGTCGAGGATTACCTGTACATTACTGGAGTCAAAAAGAACAAACTTAAAAGTGGGGCTGCAACAGCTCTTTGTATATTTATGCAAATTAAAATATCTATAAGATTGGATTCGTGGATGATAAATTATGAACTAAAGCAGCATATATTAATGAGTAGATTCTATGAAACAATGGGTTGGAACTATAGAAAATATGGAACAAATCATGGTGATCTTGTTTCCCAGAGCATGTGTTTACTTTCTAGGTTTGTTCACATTCCTTGACCTCCTAAACATTTTGTGGCTGAGCTGAGTGGGTTTTATTATTTTCAAGTTTCTGGGATGGTAGTAGGAGAGGGATACTTGTGCCTCACTTCACTTGTCCTAACTGGCTGCGTATTTTCACCTTTAATATTTCTATTCTTCGATATTCTCAGGAATAATGGAATTACATCACTTTGCGTGTGCTGAGTGTGTGTGTGTGTGTGTGTGTGAGAGAGAGAGAGAGAGAGAAAGGGAGACAGAGAGAGACAGACTTAAAACTGAAACTGTTCTAAACCCTATCAGTGTAAATAATATTTAGATACCTATTGAATTGATTCAGATATGCTCTTCTATTTACAGAAGGCGCTTCAATCCAGGAAAGACATGGAATCAGCAAAAATCACTTGCCTTTTCCATATTTTTCATCTGGTAAATCATAAATGTCTCTAAAAGATTATGGAATTAAGGCAAATATACATGTTCCAGGATAATGTTGCAGGATCCAATCTGGGTCAGTCAACAGGTTATGGAATTATCTAGAATAATCTTTTTTATCCTGGAATCTTCCATAACCAGAATTTCCAGCCAGCATGACTAAACTGTATCAGTGTAAACTTGTGAGTTTGAGCTCACATGAAGGAATTTGACAGATTTGTTATCACTATTGTTTAATAGTTTTTACAAAGCACAGATGGTGATCCCTCAGCTTCCAGAACTCTAAAGCCACTGGAGACTGCTATCTTACAGTCTCCTTGAAGGGAGCTACTGTCTAAGAGCAGGGCTGTCAAACTCGTGGACTGTGGGCCAGATGCATCATGCGCTGGCCACGCCCATGCCTGGTTTAGCAAAGGAAAAAAATTACAATATGTCATGTGATGACACTGTGATGATGTGAGTTCGACACCCCTGGTCTAGAGTAATTGGGGGTAATATGTGTCCTTTCCTTTTCCAGAAAAGAATTCCAAGAACTGGTCTTTTCACAGTTCTTCATTCTGCTATACTTATCAGCTCCACTCTCAGTGGAGAGTCATCATGAGATGAGAGTGGAGGTTCATTTTCCGAGCTTGTGGGTTGTTTCCGAACATTTCGTTACCATACTAGGTAACATCTTACCTACTTTAGGGGATGTCAGTGTCAGTGTTCTTCTGCTTATAAAGACTGTGTGTGGTCAGTAGGTTTTGTGATGGGGAGGTCACATCTTGAGTTCTTCATTCTTGGTGGCCCATTCAACTTTATTGGATGGCTTTATTATGCAATAGTATTTAATTCACATTCTGACATAAATATTTTAGCAACTGTTGATCAAAATTATGAGAGGGATGAGTCTTAATTACATTTTCATCAACATGATAATCAGAACAGACAAACAATCTGGAGGAAATTGATTTAACACTTGTTATCTTGTTCAGAATTTGGCAAGCATTGTGTTGCAGGTGTGATGAGTATTGTGTGAAATATTAAGTTTTTGTAGACTTGTAAAATATTAAGACCAATCTGAATTTGTTTTTCCCTTTCCTTTTTTCCTTTAGAAGCTCTTGAGATTCTTGGAATTTCATTGGATCATGCCCCTATTGCTCCAGAACACATCAGTATTTTATTTTTTGTAGCGGAATGCATTTTGTATAAACTCTGTTACGACGCAGCACAGAAACCATATCTATTCTCATGTGAAATCAAATTGTTGAAGGTATGCTATGCTTTTAATATTGACACATTGGTTCCACAGTGATTATATGAACATTATATGCCAATATCCCTTTAGTTTTCTATGGAGACTTGCTCATTCTGCAGGATTGGGAAAGAATTCTTAGTTCAGTAACTGCATTTGGCAATCACAGTTTCAGATACTACTCGAAACACGTTTTGCTTTTCTGATTATTTACTTTTTGCTTTCTTTGTTTTGAAATGTCATTTAAACTTTTTTTTCTAGTAAGTAATGATTTTTGGTTAATAACTAAACATTTTTATGTTCACTGCTTTAAAGAAATATTACAGAAAAATAATAAAGAAACATCATCTCCCTTTTAAAAAGAAAATGAAACATTTATTGATGAAGATTCTCAGTCAACCAGGCAGAGTTGTCTGGAAGTTGATTCATGGCAACTGATCTTTTCTTTTTTGGTTTGAAAGATTTTGCTGCTTATTCAAGTAGATTCTTCAGTCTGAAGAAGTACTGAGATAAGCAGTGAAAAGTTTCAAAGAAGAAAAAAAAAGGTCCAGTTGCCATCAACTTCCAGACAAAAATGAAACAGCGTAGTTGCTAAAATATTAGGATAAACTAAAGTAAGTCTATACTTTACCAGATATACTGTATATAATTAGCCTCTAAAGACAAGTATGGATTAACTTGATATATTAATTGGTAGACTGTTGTTGCTTTTGAACCCAACTCAAATTAAGCACCAACTCAGAGTTAAGCAAGAATTAAACTTAAAAGACTTCGTACATAAGCTGTGTTTTCAGACTTTCAAAATTATGCTAGAGTAGGGACCCAACCCACCCATTAAATCTGCATTCATAGTAAAAAAAATAACCACATGCAAAATTACATTTCCCTCAAATAATGACAAGAACAACAATCACCTCAACACTTGGGCAATTCCAGTCATTAGATATACAAGAATGTGGCTTGGATAAAGGAGGTGAAGAAGGAAAAAAAAGGAAGCTGAAATGAAAGAATATATAATAACTGCAGAAATGGTGGTGAAAAGATTAAGATCAAGAATTGGCCAGAACCAGGAGAAGATTAAGGGCTCTGGGTCTTGATAATTTAAACAGAGAAGCCTCTGCCATTTAATACTACAGAATTAGTAATTGTCAATAAGAAAGACAAAAAAATCTGGATAGTAGATGCTGCAATATTTGAAAAACAGCAGAATAAACGAAGTGGAGAAAATCAGAAAATATAAAGACCTCCAAGTAGAAGTAGAATGACTGTGGCAAAAGCAACAAAGATAGTACCAATAATAATATAGGCACCTCTACTGCAGTTCTAAAACATTTGGAGCATCATTTGAACACCATTGGCACTGACAAAATCACCATCTGTCAATTGCAACAGGCAGCATTATTTGGAACAGCTTACATTCTACAATGATAACTTTAACATTATCAAACAGCAACATCTGCCTATCCCAGGTTCTTGGGAAAGACTCAATAGGTGGGTAAAAATGCCAAATCCTGTCTAAACATCTGGCTAACTCTGCAGCCAATCATAATAATACATTAAGGCAGTGTAAAGATTATGGATTTTAATCCTTTCTTATGCACAACGCTGGTTGGGTGACTTTGAACCTATTCTACTCTGTCAGCCCTAGGCAGTAATAAACTGCTTCTGAAAAGGTCAAAAAAACTGCAAGGTGCAGTTGCCGGGAGTTAAAAATGATTTGAGGACACATCTTTTAAGTTTGTATGTGGCCTACTATTATATTTTCTAGCCTATTAACTTCAAGAAATACATAAACATTTAAAACTCACTGTTACTTATATTTACAAATTACTTGCATGATTACATTGTGGGGCACAAATTAGTACTTGCTTCAAAAATAGCTGTACAAAGCAAAATTTTACCATACATGTTATTGTTTGTATATTGGGTTCTTTGTTTTTGTAAGCTGCCCAGAGTCACTGAGAGTGAGTTGGTGGCCATACACATTTCCACAAATAAATAAAATAAAATAATAATAATAATAAAATAGTCAGAAAGTAAAGGGAACATTAGAACTGACCGAATCTCTGGATGGAGATTATTTCATAGGATGAGGTCCAACATTGAAAAAAATACTGTCTCTGGAGTCCCACCTTTCTCATTTACATATTTGGAGAACCTTTTGTGTCCTCATCTGGAACAGTAGCGTGTAATGAAATAGTTCTACATGAAGCAGATAGTAATAATTGAAAACAATGCAAATAAGTCAACAAAAGTTCTAAAATAGTATATTTAAAACATAGTTAAAAAGCTATAGTATAGTATAGAACAGGTGTGTCAAACTCACATCGTCATGGAGGCATCATGTGATGTATTGGGATCTTTTTCCCTTTCACTAACCAAGGGGTAGGCATGGCCAGCACGTGACGCATCCAGCCCTGGGCCGGGAGTTTGACAGCCCTGGTATAGAATAACAGTGAGATAAATGAGAATACATAACTGAATACTTAGATAAATCGATATTTATTAAATTGTTTCTGACCACTTTTATATGGACACTGATAAATACATGGATAGAAAGTTATAGAATAAATACTATGTATGTTTCTTTTGACAGCTTGGATTTTTAGTCTTTTTAAGAATACTTCTGCTATATTTATTTGGTTACCAGAGGTTTTCCAAAGAACACAAATTCAGGCTTCACACTGGCTTGAAAGGTACATTTTCTTCAAAAAGAAAAAGTCTGTTTATCTTTGCTATATTGTAACATACTTTGGAATCTTCCTTGACCAACCTAGTTGTGTTACCCCCCCCAAAAAAAAAAAAATCAAAAGAAACTTGAGGGCAGATCCAGATTGACATCTTCTATTTACTCCTGCCTATTTAATAGGAACATGAAACATTTGATATAGGGAATGTATCTGACCTACATTTATATTTTATGACATCCTTAGACTATTTTTATAAGCTGTCCATAAGTGATTGGTTAAAATCTTCGGCAAAAGCAATCTAGTCTTTTCCAGTAAGCATGGGATAGATGGCTGGAGCTAGAAGAAAGAGAGGAAAGGGCAGCACTGGTCATTTCTTGCTCTTCTGCTGGCAAACACACAGTCTTGATCTGATTATTCTTGACCTCAAGAGAATATAGGCATTAACCCAGGGGTGTCAAACTTGATTTCATTGAGGCCCGCATCAGGGTTGTGTTTGACCTCAGAAGGCTGGAGTGGGCATGGCCAGGTGGGCGTGGCCAACTCAACATCACTTGTGTCAGGGGAGCCTATGATGGCCCGAGTGCTCTGCCAGTGAAAACAGGCTTCTGAGCTCTGTTTTCTGCTACAACGGCCTCCAGAGCTGGGAAGGACCGTGGATGGCCCTCACAAGCTCCATCTTTGGCTGCAATGGCCTCCTGTAACCCTCTGCCACAAAAACTGAGCTCAGGAAAGCTGCATGCAGCCCTCACAAGCTCTGATTTTGCTGGCAGAGGCACTGAGGACCGGTCCTTCGCTGTTTTCAGGGCAGCCCCATGGGCCATATCTAAGCATCCATGGCTGCATCTGGCTCACAGGCCTTGAGTTTGACACCCCTGCATTAACCAAAAGGAGTTCTTTTTAAAAGGGACAACTCAAGAGAATATTGGCACTCACCAATCTGTTTATTACCATCAATCCTGATTTCCTTTCTTAAGGACTTTCATTTCTTTAATTTGTTTTAAATCTGTTTTAGAAAATAGTGTTTATGATGGCATGTGTGTGTGGGGAGAAACATGACTTGATATGAAGATCATACTTGGTTTCCTATAATTAATTGTAGGAAGAACTTGTTTTCCACAGTCTGGTCTGGACTCATTTTATAGTTTAAAAGAAAGTTATTTCTGCCAATAAACCTTTCATTGCAAGTAAAAATAACTGTTAGAACAATATGATTTTATCCCAAAGATCAGTTCCAAATTATGAATAGAATTTGCTCAACCTGAATTACCCTGAAGGCTTTTTGTTGTGCTGCCATGATCTACATGTTCCACAAGAAAGGGATTCTGCAAAAGGTTAAATAGTGTAGCATTCCACTATTTTCTTAAGAGTTCCCTGAAATTCAAATGTGACAATCTGAGAACTTCATGCTGGTTAATGTGAATGAAAAAGCAGCTAATGGTGTTTGACGACACCAGAATAGTTTTTGCTCACAATACTGGTATTTCTAATGAATGCTAAATATTTCCCTAATATACATCAGATTTTTGGCATACATATGCATAGCCTGCAGTGACTCAGCAGGCTGGGGGGGGGGGGGGGGGGACTGCTGCTGCTAATATTGCAGTGATTTTGCAAACTTGCCACTGCTGTTGGTTGTCATGGCCACACATTCATTCCCAAAATCAAGAATATAAAGTCAGACAATTAAAAACAATATCAACAATATATTTGTATCTCCCTCATTAAAGGATTCCCCCCATATGGAATAGCCAGTATAAAAAAATAATTACACCCCATCCTGCAGTATATTTCTCAAAAAATGCTATAATATGATATTGGATATAGATTGAAAAATGGCAGTGAAAAAAACTTGGTCCACAAAATATTTTATTAAAACTCATATATACATTTCATTAGAAATAACTTTCACAGATTTGCGCTATCTTTATTATCTGATTATGTTAGTAATTCTTTAAAGTGTAATTTCAGAAAACTTTACATGTTGCAGCTTTTTGCCATAGCAAATCTATTTAAAAAGAAGGTTCTCATTCCACTTGTAGCAGTAATGATCAAGTGTGTGTTCCTTCATTAGATGTTACTGGACAGCTGTTTTTTACATTGTGTTAAGATGCATTAAATATTCTAATCTATAATATTTTCAAGATGGATGAAAGCTGCCACTGAAATTCATTGACCTACACACAAAACAGCAAGTTGGTACAGTATTAAGCAGATTGCTTATATTATCAGCTTGTTCTGTCTGCTTCATTGTAAGCAGCTGTTGCTTAGAAGAAACACATTCAATCCTTCCGTTCAATAAAGGAGACAATAGCCAGAGAAAAATTCTGTGTACTGAGATTGAGGGATAATAATTCAGATCTGTAATTTAATATAAACTGAGTTAATTTACACTTCCTACAGATGAATCAGTATGCCTCTACTTCCTGCATTTTTGCCTAAATATTGGATTGCAGTTCTTTTATAAAAGTAGGTCTATATAAAAAAAAATTAGGAAACATTGCAGATAAAAAGACAACCATAGAAGACTACAACCTAAACCAACTGTTTTTTATATAGATTTTTAAAAATTCTACACCAAGAGTTGTAAAAAGAAGATAGAGGAAACATTTGTGAAAAATATGTCAATAATATAAGAAGGAAAATGACTTCTGTATCTTATACAGATTATAAAATTCTTCCATTAAAATTGTGCATGTAGTATTTTGTCAATCCACAAGAGGTCACACAATATTTATATATCCATTCTAGAAAATTCTTTGCTAACGATTCTTTTCATTCTAACAGTGGTTGAAGTTATATAGTATCTAAAATTCGACAGGACAAACTAACAAGGTATTGTTGTTGTTTGTGCCATAGCATTAGCCGCATGTGAAATGTGCTATCAACTTTACCCAAACATCCTTTTTATGGTGCAGTTTATGCTGAAGGCTGGAGAAATTATCTGTGAAACAGCAGTGGTTTTTGAATCACAATTAGAATCCCAGGAAAATTTAGAAGAAATGGAGGAAGAAACGCTTCATGACACAGTAGGTAGCATGTAATTGATATATGGCACATCAAGCAGCATTACCATGATTAAATAAGTATGATTAGTAATTCAGTGAGAACTTTAACAGTTGAAGTGGCAGATTGGCAATAGTAAAAAAAAAAGTTATGGGTTATCCTGTTCAAAGCCTGGTTCTTTGAACTATTCCCTATCAGAAGTATATCCCTATCAGATGTATATGTAGGCATATATAGAGATATGGAGAATTGGATCCAAATATTCATCTTAACAGAAGTTTGTTAGTTATGAAATGTTGCGTATAAAACCCATTTACCACTAATTTGGGTGGCCTCATCACAGAGACTTAAAATCATACTTAATCTTGGTTCTTTGGTGGAGCTTTGTCTTTTTTTGTTATTTTCTGAAACTTTTTAGTCCTCAGAGATGTGCAGAGAGTACATGCTTGCCTGCAGAAAGACAAAATCTGTGGTTCATGAATAAGTAGCTCTAGATCATGGCTGTTAAACTTGCGGCCCACAGCCCAGATGCATCACGTGTTGGTCACACCCCTGCCTGGTTTAGCGAAGGGGGGAAAAAATCCCGATTGGTCATGTGACACTGTTGTGACAACACGAGTTTGACACCCCTGCTCTAGATTAAAGCTTAAGATGTTTTAGACATATAATATGAAGGTAAGAGCTATTGAAGGAATTTCTGATGCTTGGAAAATAACAAATTAAAAAAGAAGCCAACAGAAGTCAAACTAGTTAAATGCTATCATGAGTCCTGCCACTAATGACACAAGCAAAAGCTTACAAGTACTGAAGAAACCAGTACTAATAGACCATTCTAGTGAATGATACCCCTTCAGTCACAAAGAGTTGGAAGTGACTAAAATGGAACTGAAAATCTCTTGCCTGAAATTCTGGAAAATTGCTTTTGAGATAGACCTGGTATTTACAGTATAACCTATGCTCTTCTTCAGGTGTATATGGCTACCACACTACATAATTACTAATCATGCTGATAGTGACTTATGAAAGTTGTACTCCAAAATATCTAGAGGCTACAATTTACTTATCCCTGTAGTGGACCATAGATCAGGAATGGGAGAATGTGAACTTTTGGATTTTATTTTCTGGCAATTTCAGGCAATATGATCAATGATGAGAAATGTTGAAAACTATCATTTTAGAAGTCAGAGCAGGTTCGCTTCCCCTGCTATTGATAATTTGGCATTTCCACCATTTTTCTCAATGGCCATGCTTTATAGAAGTTGTAAATCAAACTATGTGGTGTAGGGAATCTTGACACCTTCCAAATGATCTGGATTCAGATAAAACAGATCTTTTAATATAAGTAAAGAAATCTTTGTGCTCAGATAAAGGAATGTTCACAAATACAAGAATAAAATAATCCACACTTAATGTAGAATAAAATAATTTGGGCAACTGATTGACCTGGATGAGCTCTTCTCTTTGTTACTGGTTTATTAGACTTATAACCCTTCTGGCTGGCAAAGGCTTCCTGAGAGGCGATGTGCTTAAGTTTTAGTGGTGGTGAATTCTTCTTTGAGAGAGAGTATGGTTCTTTACCCCTTAAAGAAGCATTGGTCAATTCTTTTGTCAAGAAGCTGGATTAACATATACTCAGGGGTGGGATTCTACCAGTTCGCACCTATTTGGTAGAACTGGTTGTTAACTTTCTAAGCAGTTTGGAGAACTGGTTGTTAGAAGAAATTACTGGCCTAATCCTGTAAGGAAGGCAGGAAGGAAACATTCTGGTGTTGCTTACAGAAACTGCCTCTCCATTAACTTTATTACATTCTTGGCAGGACTAGATTTCCTGTCTCAGGAACTTCTCTGGAGTTTTTTCCCCCCTCCTTTGCTGGTACTTTGCTTGTGTGGAGTGACCATTCAAAGTTACAGTGGCACTGAAAAAAGTGACTTATGACCATTTTTCACACTTACAACTGTTGCAGCATCCCCACAGTCATGAGAGGCCAGGCGAGGAGATGCGTGCCTCGATGTGAGTGATATTAAGTTGGCCAGGCCCAGCCAATAACATGACCACCAAACCATGTCCACCCAGTCACATGACCACCAAGCCACACCCACCACCTAAGCCACACCCACAGAACCAGTTGTTAAAAAATTTGAATCCCACCCCTGCATATACTGGCTAATTTTCAACCAGTAACCAATGTTCCTTTTTAGGGAAGGTTATTGAGAAATGGGTCATATACAAGCTTCAGAGGATTCTGTAAGAAGCAGATTAACTGGATTTCTTTCAGACAGATTTCAGACCAGGGTATGAGATTGAAACAGAATTGGCTGTGATTTTAGATGACCTCTGGTGGGAGTGGGATGGGATAGTGCATCCATTCTTGATGGCTTTATTTATTTTATTTTATTTTATTTGGTTTGTCAATTGTTTTCAAGATAATAGGTGTTATGTCTCACCTGTGCAAACGAGGTGAGAAGTCCAAATTTCCAAATGAATATAAACAAGCAAACAAGTCCAGTAATTTATTTTATTTTATTTATTTATTTTATTTATTTGATTTGCCAATTGTTTACAAGATAATAAGTATAAGTGTATACATAGTTGTGAATACATGAAATGGGTACATATAAGAAAAATAAAAGAATAAGAGAAACAATAGGACAGGGACGGTAGGCACGATGGTGCGCTTATGCACGCCCCCTACAGACCTCTTAGGAAAGGGGTGAGGTCAATAGTAGACAGTCTAAGGTTAAAGTTTTTGTGGTTTGGGCAAGAGACTACAGAGTCGGGTAGAGTATTCCAGACATTGACCACTCTATTGCTGAAGTCGTATTTCCTGCAATCAAGTTTG